GATATTAGCATGCACAGGGCTATTCTGGGTCAAGAGACCTACCGGCTCACAGGGTTACTAGATATTAGCATGCATGGGACTATTCTGGGGCAAAGTTACAAGATATTAGCATGCACGGGGCTATCCTGGGGCAAGAGACCTACCGGCTCACAGGTTTACTAGATATTAGCATGCACGGGGCTATTCTGGGGCAAGAGACCTACCGGCTCACAGGGTTACTAGATATTAGCATGCACGGGGCTATTCTGGGTCAAGAGACCTACCGGCTCACAGGGTTACTAGATATTAGCATGCACGGGGCTATTCTGGGGCAAGAGACCTACCGGCTCACAGGGTTACTAGTTATTAGCATGCACAGGTCTATCCTGGGGCAAGAAACCTACCGGCTCACAGGGTTACTAGATATTAGCAGGCACGGGGCTATCCTGGGGCAAGAGTCCTACCGGCTCACAGGGTTACTAGATATTAGCATGCACGGGTCTATCCTGGGGCAAGAGACCTACCGGCTCACCGAGTTTCGGGGCAAACTGGCGGCCTGTAGCAGGGGCTACATCCTGGGGCCGAGATTCCACCACTGGATCCACAGGGTTTACAGATATTAGCATGCACACTTGGGGGCTGTTGGGCGAGGGCCTGCAAGCTCCCGGGGTTACCCCGTCAAATAGCATGCAGGGCCATTCTGGGGCAGAGACCTACCGGCTCAGGGGTTACTAGATATTAGCTTTGGGACTGTCTGGGGCAGGAGTGCCGGATCACAGGGTTACTAGATATTGGCATGCAAGGTTTCTGGGGCAAGAGATTTACCCGCTCACAGGAGTTACTAGATGTGGCAGGCTACTGGGGCAAGAGACCTACCGGCTCACAGGGTTACTAGATATTAGCATGCATTGGACTATTCTGGGGCAAGAGTCCTACCGGCTCACAGGGTTACTAGATATTAGCATGCACGGGGCTATTCTGGGTCAAGAGACCTACCGGCTCACAGGGTTACTAGATATTAGCATGCATGGGACTATTCTGGGGCAAAGTTACAATATATTAGCATGCACGGGGCTATTCTGGGGCAAGAGTCCTACCGGCTCACAGGGTTACTAGATATTAGCATGCACGGGGCTATTCTGGGGCAAGAGACCTACCGGCTCACAGGGTCACTAGATATTAGCATGCACGGGGCTATTCTGGGTCAAGAGACCTACCGGCCACAGGGTTACTAGATATTAGCATGCACGGGGCTATCCTGGGGCAAGAGACCTACCGGCTCACAAGGTCACTAGATATTAGCATGCACGGGGCTATCCTGGGGCAAGAGACCTACCGGCTCACAGGGTTACTAGATATTAGCATGCACGTGGCTATTCTGGGGCAATAGACCTACCGGCTCACAGGGTTACTAGATATTAGCATGCACGGGGCTATTCTGGGTCAAGAGACCTACCGGCTCACAGGGTTACTAGATATTTGCATGCACGGGTCTATCCTGGGGCAAGAGACCTACCGGCTCAAAGGGTTACTAGATATTAGCATGCACGGGTCTATCCTGGGGCAAGAGTCCTACCGGATCACAGGGTTACCAGATATTAGCATGCACAGAGCTATTCTGGCGCAAGAGACCTACTGGCTCACAGGGTTACTAGATATTAGCATGCACAGAGCTATTCTGGGGCAAGAGACCTACCGGCTCACAGGGTTACTAGATATTAGCATGCATGGGACTATTCTGGGGCAAGAGTCCTACCGGCTCCCAGGGTTACTAGATATTAGCATGCATGGGACTATTCTGGGGCAAAGTTACAAGATATTAGCATGCACAGGGCTATTCTGGGGCAAGAGACCTACCAGCTCACAGTGTTACTAGATATTAGCATGCATGGGACTATTCTGGCTGGGGCAAAGTTACAAGATATTAGCATGCACGGGGCTATTCTGGGGCAAGAGACCTACCGGCTCACTAGATATTAGCATGCATGGGACTATTCTGGGGCAAAGTTACAAGATATTAGCATGCACAGAGCTATTCTGGGGCAAGAGACCTACCGGCTCACAGGGTTACTAGATATTAGCATACATGGGACTATTCTGGGGCAAAGTTACAAGATATTCTGGGGCAAGACTCCTACTGGCTCACAGGGTTACTAGATATTAGCATGCATGGGACTATTCTGGGGCAAAGTTACAAGATATTAGCATGCACGGGTCTATTCTGGGTCAAGAGACCTACCGGCTCACAGGGTTACTAGATATTAGCATGCACAGGGCTATTCTGGGTCAAGAGACCTACCGGCTCACAGGGTTACTAGATATTAGCATGCATGGGACTATTCTGGGGCAAGAGTCCTACTGGCTCACTGGGTTACTAGATATTAGCATGCATGGGACTATTCTGGGGCAAAGTTACAAGATATTAGCATGCACGGGGCTATTCTGGGGCAAGAGACCTACCAGCTCACAGGGTTACAAGATATTAACATGCACGGGGCTATTCTGGGACAAGAAACCTACCGGCTCACAGGGTTACAAGATATTAGCATGCACGGGACTATTCTGGGGCAAGAGACCTATCGGATCACAGGGTTACTAGATATTAGCATGCATGGGACTATTCTGGGGCAAAGTTCAAAACACGGAACAGTCACCATGGAAACAGAATGTTCCAATGTAATTCCAATTCTGTGAATACACAGTTTTTTGGATGGAGTGACCCTTTTAGCGGGTAACTTTTAAAAAGTAAAGCAGCTAGTTTTTGGACCCTTTTGCAACTCTTGCAATAACCAGAACAAGACTACCCATTAGACGGCTGCCTTGGCCGAAGTGGACCCTGTCTGTGCCTGTAGCTCTGGCTGCGAGGGGGCCCTCCTTGAACTGACAGAGAGATCAAGAGAACAGCCTCGCCCCTGGCCACACCCCAACTCACACCCCAAAAATTAAAGTGTAAACCTTTTCAAAAAATGTTGGGTAGTTTGCCTTTTAGAGTTCCGTTTCTGGTTCACAACAACGCAGTGACGACTGGTGAAGTTTAAAGATAGTGTTGGGCTCTGCGACCCTCCTTCCCCCGACTTTACCCAATTCACAAATTGAAAGATGCCTCGCCAGTCATAGATAATGGAGAGAATAGAAACTGCAGATATAATCATGGCAGAAATATATTCTAACACACACTTATCAAAAGTTCTTACAGCACAAATAAATGTTATATATATATTATTTTTTTAAAGCCCACCCTGCCCTACGGACTAACCAACACTGCATCCGCATACATGTCAGACTTATTTACTAAATTGGGAATTGTTTATAATCCACGGGGAAATTTGATAAATTGCCAGTGTGTTTTCTATTGGTGATTGTATGTTAGTTAACACTCTACATAAAGGCTACAATTGAATAAAATAACAAGCATTTTGCAATTAATAAAATACAAAGGATTATTTTCTGGGATTTCACATATCCGTGCTGTAGAAAACATTGGTGCTTTATAAATAACTAGAATCGAAGTAACAATAATCTATCCCGTCAGAAGAAAATAACTGGTGTTTTTCCAGTTCACCCGTTGGAAAGGTTTGGAGAACGATACGATTTTGCACCTGGATGTCTGTATTTACAAATAGTTCAGTTAAACTGACGGGTTTGTTCTCTGCAATTACTGAAATTCAAATTCCAAAATCTGGCTAAACGAGATGAATTGGAGAGTGTTCCTTTTACGACAAGACACTGTTTAGACAATAACCCCCTGGAGAGTTCCTGTACTCTGAGCACATTTGGACAAAAGGGTCATGACTCATGACAAAAATAGCGAGAACATCTTGGGTTACATCCTAAAAAGGGTATGCCCATTTCAAACAGCTTAATTACATCCTCGAAACCTGAGATGGAAGTGTGCGTTTATGTTACTGAGCAAGGGCAGTGATCATCAGACCTGTCTGGCATGTGACCCCGATCACCCTCAGCGCAAGGTCGGTGCCCCAAACAAGCTGCGCTTCGCACCCGCCTATACAGGTATATTCAGCTATTCCAACCTGTTTAATGCGTTGATGAAAATAAAGTCTTGCAGATTTGATGCAAAATGTCCTTACGTTAATCCTTACAGTAATCGCTGAATACTTTATTTCGGGATTCTCTTTTATTTATTACAGAAAAAAAAATGCTTTTAGATATCTGCCAAAAATAATACGAGATTCCCCTCCTTGCAAGTTTCAGCATGGGGTGTAAAGGGATCAGCCAGGAGTAAATGAAGAAAGTTTAGCTTTTAACCCTTTCTGTGTCAGACCTGACAGTGGCAGGCTGACATATATCTAGGCCGCCATTGTGTCAGATCATGGCGCCAGCCAGTGGTGTATCCTGGTTTTGTGCTGCCCTAGGCAGGACAAAACTCAGGCACCCCCCCGCGCCACCCCCACCCGCGCAACCGCCACCCAACCTTCCCCCCTGCTCCGCCTTCTAAATACACACACACATATTCACTGACAGATACGCATTCACTAGCTAACAGAAACACACAGTCACTAACAGACCCACACTCACACACTCACTAACAGACACACACACTCACAGGCAAACACACACACACACTAACAGGCAAACACACACACTAACAGACATCCACACTAACAGACATCCACACTAACAGACACACACACACACTAACACTAACATACATACACTAACATTAACATACACACTAACACTAACAGACACACATACTAACACTAACAGACACACACACCAACATACACACACACTAACATACACAC